CTCCCACTGTTGCCCTGCTCAAACACCAAATAGGTGATACCCTGCCCCCAACTTTTGCTGAAGTAGCAGCAAAAGGGGGAAAAAAGAACAAGGTTGGCAGTGTTCTCTGTGGTTCTCTGCCAGTTCCTGTGAAAACCCACCAGTGACATAAGGTAGCTTCAGGAATCACCAGAAACTCTGTAGTATGCCAGACATCATAATGCTTATTTAGAATTACCAAGTCCCTTGGTAATAAGAAGAGAACTGTTCCCATCAAGTTCTGACATTAGTGTGGCGTTTGGCTCCACCATCAGGAAAGACCTTCCACATTCCGCTCTCCAGAAGGGTTTTTTGTATGACCACTGGTTGTTTTTCTTTCACCGTGAGCCAGCTGTGCAGTAATACACAGCTGTGTCCTCCACTTTCAGGCTGCTCATTTGGAAATAAAAATTGGTGCTATCCTTGGAGGCTGTGAAGCGTCCATGAATGGTGGGGGAATAGTAGTTGGTTTTAGAAGATTTCCAGTAGTGTACTAGCCATTCCAGGCCCTCTCCTGGCTTTTGTCTGACCCATTCCATCCACCAGTCGGTTATAATAAACCCTCTTGTGGCACATGTCAGCTGAACAGACTCGCCAGGCCTCTTCAGCTCTGAACCCCTTTGGGTCAAAACAACTTCAGAATGAACCCCTGGGAAACAAAACGGAAAATTCAAAGACCATGTGAAGCCAGTCTTACATTTATGCCATACTCTAATAATAAGGATGGGTCACATGACAGTAACATTGCAGGCAAGAAGAATATTTATCTAGTTGCATTAAAGGAGGCAAAATACCTTCCCAAGCAGCTAAAACGACAATCCAGTGGAGCCAATGTGCCATCATGCGTGGTGTTTGGGAAAAATCTTCAATTGGCAGATTAGGTGTTTCCTTTGGTGCCCAGGAACTTGAAGGCTTCTCTGCTAAATGAAGTCTGGAAAGAACAAGATGGATTTATAGCAGCAAATGTCTCCTCAATTTGCATCGAATCCGCATATAAGACACAACCAAATCCCACCCTCTCAAGGATCCACCCCGAAATTTCAATGCACTTATTTTGTCAGAGAGGGGATATTTACTGGAGACAAAAGTCAATGCAACTACCAAAAATGCTTCCTACCATCTCAGCTTAGCCCATCAGATAGCCCCTTGTCTTGCTACACCTGATCTGGCCACCTAGATCCATATTGGCTACAGTTTGCCAAAAAGGAATGATTGTTCCTGTTGTTCCTTCTTCTGGTATTACTGCAGCTGGTTGGCAGGAGGCAGATCTGCTCTTTCGGTATTCAAATGACTTTTGAATATGGCCAGTCGAGTGAGCTTTAGGTTTGATGAGTGAAACAAGCATGCTTGGAGCCCCTAGTAATAAGTCTGGTCCCAGGATTTCCCAGGCAGAAATCTCGAAACAGTACATTCTAAAGAACGCCACGATCCAAACAGACAAGTCTTGGCTTTGAGGTTGCGAGACATCCAAGGATTTGGCCACTTGTTGTACAGAGAAGGATATCAGCTCTCTGTTTGCTTCAAGTTCGTTGTGAATAGGTTGTGAAAGCAGACCGGAAGACATCCAGTCCAGTCCTGGGACAAACTCTATGCAGTCTTGCCACACAGAGCCCCGGGGAACAAAGAGCGGTGGAAGATCTGCTCACAATACAGATGTGGCACTGCTGGATCCTCAGAACCCACCCCCGTAGCAGACTGATGTGGGAGGTTTCAACATACAATGGTATCTTTATTGCTGCTGCAGGTTTCCATGCCAGAAATATTGTTGCCAGATGAATGAAGTGAAGCAATCCAGGTCTAAGTCCCTCGTAATAAATATGGGTCTTGGCCAGTGTTCCCTCTAAACTGAGTTAGTGTGAGCTAGCTCACAGTTTTCTAGCCTCCAGCTCACACAGTTTTGTCTTAGCTCAGGAAGGGATGCCTCCAGAGCAAACTAATTTATGCAGTAGCCAAATCGCTCACTCACAACTTTAATGCCAGGAGCTCACAAAGTAGAATTTTTGCTCACAAGACTCCACAGCTTAGAGGGAGCATTGGTCTTGATATGTCACCAGAAGAAGAAGCGATTGGATTTATACCCTGCCCTACACTCAGAGTCTCCTAGTAGCTTACAAATTCCTTTCCCTTCCCCACAACAGACAGCCTGTGAGGTAGGTGGGGCTGAGAGAGCTCTGACACAAACTGCTCTTTTTCAAGGACAGCTCTGACAGAACTATGGCTTGCCCAAGGTCATCCAGCAGCTGCAAATGGAGGAGTGGGGAATCAAACCTGGTTCTTCCAGATTAGAATCCACGCACTTAACCAGTAAACCGGCACAATCTCAAAACGAGGGCAAACTCTGAGCATACTAAATAGTGTTGCAATCGAAACTAAGAAGAAATAGGTTGTGAGATTGTGAGAAAGCCAAGGATCTGTCGACTTGTTGTACAGAGAAGAATATAAACTGTGTGTTTGTCTTAAAGTTTCTTGTTCCTTGTGGCTGGTGAGTGTGGAGCAGAAAGTGTCTAGGCAAGTCCTGGGGCAATCCTTGGGGCAAATTATTTGCCGTCTTGTCACCCTGAGCCCCATGGAGCAAAGGGGCGGTGGCTGAAGATCTGCTTCCACTGCAGCTGGGGTACTGCTGGATCCTCAAAATTCGATCCGGCAGCCACTGCAGACTCAGATTGATGCTGTCTAATGTTTCATAATATTTTATTGCTATCATAGGTTTCCATGCAAGAAATAATGTTG